CCCTAACCGTCGGATGAAATTATGTTTTGTTTCAGTAGAAGAAAATTTGGGAGGAGTCCTTTGATGAATTTGTCTTGCTACATGCCGGCTTGGTTCCAAAAGAGGTCACTGCTATGGGCGATGTTTGTTGCTATCGGAATTGCACCCATCCTTGTGTCCCGAGACAAAGACCCTTTTGATCTAGTCAACAGTATCAGGAAGGACATGCCATGGGTTCGACCGCCACACCCGGCAGGAGTGGATCCTTGGGATTAGTTAATAGTTCTAGTGCTAAATTTAAACAATTTCTCTTTCATGTATGGTTAATTTACTATCAACTCTCTCGAGATTGTGATTTTTAACTTATTTTTCTTTTTATAGATCCTTTTTCACGTGAAAATGAGATTTGAATTCACAATGTGCAATAATCAAAGTTTGTTTATAAAACATGTTCTCAAAAAATTCTATTGCACTGTGCGTTGTTTTACATATATAAGCTTCTGACAATAATAGATTGGAAACTAGCTTAGAAGAGATGCTAGTACGCTATAAGCTCAGAAAACATTGCATCACCACAATATATAATATTAGGTGGTGTGATTAGTGATGCCGTTTAAAAGGTTCAAAGGGGGGTGTTTTTACTGTCTTTACAAAGGGACAGGACAGTGACAGAATTAATCTTTAATCCAATTAAGAGAGAGAGAGAGAGAGAGAGAGAGAGAGAAGAAAGGTTATGATTGGCAGGACTATCCACCACCCCATGTGGACACCAATTTGGCTGGTGTTCCTTGGCTTGGCTGCCTTGGCCAGCACAACTAAGAGACCCCACAGCCACAAGTTCAAGTTCAGCCACTACTATATTTATGCATTTAGATCTCTTTCATTGTATATGTTTCAAATGTTTTCATGGAACCTACAGTCTGTGGTGAGTTTCCTGTTCCCACACTAATACATGATAGACAATGTAGTGTTAAAAAAGATTGAAAGAATTTGTGGATCTGAATCACTCTTAGTTTCTTTTTCTTTCTTTTTTTTTGTTTAATGGTCTAGGTCTCCGAATTAGATTACGTGTACGTCGATTAATTTCCTCCTCTCTTCGTTTTGGTCAAAGGCAGACCATCCACGTCGGGACTAAAGTATTCATGAAAAATAACTTCTTCATGACCTGACTTTAAGAAATTGTCAAAATTTAAACTCAAAAAGTCTGATTTTACACTCTTTAGTTTTTACCGCCTCAAGATTTAGCTCATTTTAGTATTGCCTATGTGGGGAACCAATACCTTTATAGTAAAGCAAAGCAATAACTAAGGTTAGTTTAATTGATATGAGTACCTTAAAACCATTTTAAAAGAAAAACAGCATTTTGGGTTGGAATCCATGTGAAGACAATCATAGGCAAGGAGGAGGAGGAATTTTTTAAGTTGAGTGGTGTTTACTCTTCAATTTGCTTCCATAAAAGCAAAAAAATATTAGCTTATAACAATAAAAAGGAGGGTAAGTGGAATTTTGGTCCCCCTAGCCCTAGGTTGTACAAGCTGTAACCCCTGTTGACCTTACCAGATGTTTCCTCACCAAAGGATCTGATGTGTTCTTATCCCATGAAACTTAAGATCAATGGAACCTTATTTCTTCTTTGACTGTGAGGAAGAAGAATGAGGACAAAAAGCTTATGTGGAAGTTACCATTAGATGCATATAAAATCATGTGGACCCCTTATTCATAACCCATTGGTTTCTCATCATTTTAAACAATCTCATTATATTTATGCTGCAGTTTAAAAGAAACACTCAACTAAATGTAATGGGATATGGTTCATTTTAGGCCTTTAAAACCACACTTCCACGCCTTTGCAAAATGGTTTAAAGTCTAAATCACTATGGTTGTATCAGCCGATAGATCAAGTTGACAGCAAACACACCTTGAATCATTAATTCAAGTATTCTTATTTAATACCGGTGATTGTTTTCTTATCGCAAGTAACTAAAACGAAAAAACTCTATGTTAAAAATGATGAAACACTTTATATATTGATATTTCGTGCTCATTCAGATCTTGTGTATTTTGTTCTTCTTGAAATTTAGTAGCAACAGGATGACCCACGCACGAAAAATGTGACATTATACGAACTTATGTGAAATTATATGTATCAAGCTTATAAAACTCCAGAGTCCAAAACAGAAAGAAAAAGTTTATTAACCAAACAAGATTCTTGATAGTTCTTACTGTCTTATTTTTATCATATATTTATTTAACAGTCAGGGATATTCGGGTCAACTTATGTATATCTCGATTAATGTTCTTCTCGCTCTAGTTAAAGGCAAGTCATCCACGTTGAGATCAGAGTATTCAAGAGCGATAAATCTCTTATAATTTGCCTCTAAAGAATTGTGAAGATTTAAACTCAAAACGTCTAAATTTATAATTTGTTTTTCTTACCGCTCGACTTAGGTTTGAAGTTTTTAGTTTTATCATTTATCTGAAGACTACACGGGACAATACTAATTATAAGTCAAAGGCCATGTTGCTGCTCTCAGTTTGGCCGATCAAAAGCCTATCAGTGATTGAGTTGGTGCAAACATTAGGTCAATGGGGCACCAGCATTTAACTACGTTTTCTGTGCTTTGTCCTGATCTTGGTGTAGGTTTTGGGATTGGAAAAGAATACAATGGCCAGTTTTTACCCTTAAAAACAATTTTTTTTTTCTTCCTCCTCATTCGGATTCATGGTGATGATTTATGACCAATATTTGCAGGTTTTTTTTTATGGGTAAATTTATCCTAGTCCGAAGGAAATAATTTGGATGTTGAACTGTCTTTTATTTGAGAATAATTGACCCTAAACTACACCGATGTCTTACTTACGAGACTTAAACTCCTGACTTTCCTATCCGAAGGTAAGAGGCTAGCCATTTAAATTAAACCCGTGGTGATTGCTTGTGACCACTATTCGAGTTAATTTCATTTTATATGCAGCAAATTCAAAATAAAAATAAAAAACGCATCGATTCTCGTCTTTTTCATACAAGCGTTAATGTTTGTCACAAGTTTAATTATCCTAACTTGTATTAACACCCTTATGGAGGCATTACGTAAGCATGATGGTAGCAGAGTAGCAGACGAAATCACAACCTTCTAAAACAAATGATAACAGCTTAAGACATTTTGATCATGCTTTGTATTAAATTAGTTCAAAACGAGCACTTGATTGTTTCCCCAGAAACACTCTCTAGTTGCCCTGTCGTAACACGTGTCATCTTGCTTTCAAGGGAAATAAACCAGCATAATTTTTTTTTTTCACCTATTCCATTAGCTCACAGGTTTAAATGTTAGCTTACCTACCAATATTAAGGAGTTTGGACTCAATTACCTGTTGAACAACGTTAAAATGAAAAATATCCATAAAGATTTGACGTCGGATCTAAACAAAGGATTTTTTTTTTTTTTTTTTGTTTGGTTCAATGGTCAGGAATATTCATATCAATTTACGCGTACTTTGACTAATCCTTTCTTTAGTTTGGACAAAAGCAGAGGTCATCCACACTGGAACTAGAATATTCGTCCGGGTAAATGCCTCATACCATAACCTTAAAGAATTGTCAACATTTAAATTTATAACTCATCTATGTTCCTACTTCATTTGCCTTGGAGTTTAAACAAAAGATCATGCACTCCTTTGTGCTGGAACTCATAAGTAGAATGCTTGGGCCTAATGATGTCAAGTAACAGTTTCTCTATTCTTAGTTTTATTTGCATCAAAAAAAAGAACGATATAGATTATACAAATAACTAAAAGAAACATAATTGTTACAATCTAAGCTCTTTGGGTCAACATAATTTTTTTTGGCTACAAGGTATATAGGTTTGCGCTGATTACTTGTCGAGCTCAGTTGTTGGCCACTATAATTTGAGCTGAATTGTAGTATGTCCGTTTAAGGACAAAGGTGGCTAACCCTTAGGGGGTGTGAGAAGGAATTGGTAACTCAAACGGGTGATTATGTCAACATCAGGTTAGCCATGTGCTTGGCGTAACATTTTTGAATGATTTACAATTATGGTTCGGCTCAATTACGTCTACACAATTGTAAACTTATGTTGTTTAATAAAAGTACAAAGAATATATACTTATAAAGAAATTACACACTTAATCAATTGATGGAGAAAGAAATACATTGACTTGTTACTTCAACTGATCATGTCATTCATCTTAGCATCAAATCTCAGGAGTACTCTTGATTCTCGGATATGAGTCAACACAAGTGCAGTATAAATGAAAAACTCAGCCATTCACAAGCTTTATAAGTGTTGGCATAAAAGCTACATTTAGTTTAATAATCTATTGCTAAGTGCCAACCATATCTATGAACAGAACCCTTAAGATAGCAACTTCACAGAACCTGTCAAGCATAATCTCTTAAAACTTTCATGGCTTGCAAGTTGCCAAAGGAGGAATTAATTAATGCAATGATCTACTCATAATGTGGGGTAATCCTCTATGTATGGCAACTGTAGTTTCTCCATTTGTAAAAAAAAAATGTATATTAGGGTCTGTCATCTTGTCACTATATTGGAAAGTAGAGGGTGACGGATGGGATGACGATTATGCCATGGTCTTCAGTGTTAAAAAAACACATCATAAAGGGAAGTCATTTATCATCATAGTTCAACTAGAGAGTATAATTTTTAAAGACGTGGGACAAGTTCTTCCACTCTCCCGCACGTGCAACTTTCACTTACGTATAGAGAGTAGACGTAAGAAGAGAGAAATATAAAATCAGAATCAAAATATACAAAGTGCACTTATGACAAGAACAATGAGAGAATCAATTAGTATATGAAATAGTGTTGCACTAAAGATTCATTTAACTTAAATTTTGCTATCATGCTCTAAAGCATCCAACTCGAAAAATCAATTGGCGACAAGTGAACCGACTAAAAGGAATTGTATACTAGTTTTGGATGTGTTATTTTATCAATCCGACACAGATTCTATCACATTTGTTTTCCTCTTTGTTAGAAAAGTAGCTATTTCAAAACCTTTGGCAGAGGTTCAGTATTGTTGCCAAAGACAAAAGGCCTTGGCATTGGGGCGACATCTTCAGAGAGAAACTGAAGTATGCCTTTACAAGTCTGAAGCGAATGACTTAAGTATGAAAAACAAATGAAAACGTAATGAAGATTTTCACTGATCATAATACCAGCACCAACAGTAAGTGGGAGGATCCACACAAAAAATCCCGGCTTTTCGATACTGTTTTCCCAATTAGTAGGGTGTCAAATAGACAAGAATAAGTTGATCAAGTGCCATCACAAACTTAATCATTGAAAGAACTTGGGTCTGATATAGATCATAAGACAAATAATAAGCTGTTATGAAAATGGTGAAAGGGGAAATATTCTACCACAACTCTTATAGCATACATGTTTCCAACACTCAAATTATGCTGCAAACAGGAATCCTAAAATCAATTACATACTCCACATGGAAAAGTGTTCAAAAACTACCATTGAATTGTTCCCTTCAAAGCTGAATGAGTGAGAGATCCTTGCAGTCAAATGAAAAAAGAAAAACGGTTAGACAATGCGGTTAGACGAGCAAAGACTTAATACATATACTAAGTTTCATGTAAATGTTGATTTGATATATTTGACCTCACGATTAATCATGCCTTCTTCATATTTGATATAGTATCGATTGTAACAGAAGGCTCCAAGTTCCAAAAACATAAAGAAAAAAAATGTGCAGATGTGTTCTTAAAGACCTTCTTGATGGCAGTACCTTCAGCCAAATCCCCTGCTAGGGTTGACATTTCATGAGCATTCATATAGTTCACCTTTAAGTTTTGTGTTTTTCAGAAGTTATAGGAGAATCTTAACAATACATCCAGTTTCTACTAGAATATGCTTCTTCTGTTATGGCATACAACGACAACTCGCACCTCTACAGGCGATGAAGCCAGCAACCCCGGAAGCAATGACAGCAGCCACACCTTCTCCTAATGTCGATCCAAAGATGTTCTACAATAATGTCGTCCTCTGTCCGTGAACAAAATACACTCAAATGCGAAGACAGACAATTTATTCATGCACTTTTGGATTTATGAGGGAAACATATAACTAAAGATATGCTGATATCCATAGGGCGTTAAAATATGATACAATTCGTTAGCATGACACAAATATGACACATAATTAGAAGGTTTTGATATTCTTCAAACACATGTTTCGTAAATGAGTGAAACCAATATAATACGACTAATAAACGAATTGGGCATAGATAAAATTAATTAAAAAAAATACACAATAAATACGACTAAATAGATTTACCAATTATATACGATTCATACACATTACGAATCCAATATAACACAACTCGTTACACATGATTAAATATAAATAGGATACTTTTTGAAACGAACCTATTTCACCCGATACGATTGGCATGCATCACATATTTATTTAGGCATATATTGCCCTACTAGATGGACTGCATATGAGGCCCATGGATTGCAAGTGGTACTAAGTGCTGAACAGTTAATGGGTAATTGCCTGTAGGCCCACTTGAAGCCAACTCAACCCCACCGTCTTCTTTTTGTGGCCCACGCGACAACTATCAAAGATTCAAGACACGTGTAAGTAGAGCCAAGTCCAAAATCAGGAGTGGAGTCCAATTCTTACAGCTTACCTTAGCATCGAAGCAAAAGCCCAAGGTGTGGAACTCATCAACCCGCGTTGTCGCGTAGACCTTCTAGATTTTCCCAACCAAATCAACCATCCTCGCTTGGCTCCTTCCTTCTTTGACTCAACTCTCTCTGTCTCTCTCTCTGCCGCATCAACGCGTTTTTACTGTCATTAATCTCTCATTCGCTCACCCATAACATCCCGCACCCGAAAGACAAGCCAAAGTACTTAATTTCGACAATCTCCTTTGACAAATCCACACGCCATCCCCCCATTTTCTTTCTTTCTGCGAAATTTCCTCTACCCACGTCCCATTTCCTCTTATATAAACTGTCTCTCGTCTTTCCCTCTTCCTCACCTCATGCCACCGGCTGAATCTATCCTATCTAGTCTAGAAATACTAGAGACCCGTATTGATATTTAGCTCTAGTGGAAAATATTGTATTTGATAGTTGGTTTGTGTGAAAAGAAAAAATGGAGAACAATCAGTCTTTCTGGCAATTCAGTGACCAGCTTAGGCTTCATACCAACAACTTGGCAAATCTGTCTCTCAACGACTCTATTTGGGGCAACTCTTATGTGTCCAAGAGGCCTGAAGAGAGGCGGAACTTCGATATCACAGTCGGCGGTGAGGTCAAGTCTCAAAATTCGGTGAATTCTGTGAATGATTTGAAGCCGAATTTTAATGGGTTTAACGATAATTGGAAGATGGGAGTTGGGTCCAGCCGAATTGGTTCCATGGGAGGAGGTGTTAATTCACCTCAAAACATGGTTGGAGTTGGGCTAAATGGTGGGTTTAATAAAGGGATTTATTCCAGTCCTTCGTTGAATTTCAATACTCACACTAAGGCTAACAACAATGTTATGGTGAATGGTAAGGGGAAATGGAACAGTAAAGGTGAGGATGAGCAAAGTCATGGGTTTGGTTATGGAGGTAAAAGTGGTAGGAAGAACAAGAACAGTAAGGTTAGCAATAACGATAATAATAGTGAGAACAGTAATAAGAATGGTGTGGACAAGAGGTTCAAGACGCTTCCACCATCAGAATCTCTGCCTAGAAATGAGACGGTTGGTGGGTATATCTTTGTATGCAACAACGACACCATGCAAGAGAATCTCCAGAGGCAGCTCTTTGGTATGTTCCTTCTTGCTTTCTCTCTGGTTTATGTTCGTTTTTGTTATTACGTTTTATGCATATGATTTTGTTTTGGTGCTATCAGTAAAAGGAAAGTAAAAGAAATTTGATGGATGAAACTATCTAATTTGTAAATAATCTGGTAATCTCTCTCCCACCCCCACAGCCACAATCGGTATATTTAGGTGTTTGAATTATATTTTCTGAATGACTTTGTTGGATTTTATACAAACAGATGATCAGTACTAGGTAAAATGAGGGAAATGTTTAATTTCGAGATGTTTAAATAAGTGGATCATGTTTTATGCTGATCTATGTCCAAGAAATGCCCAATGAAGTGTTAGATGATGAGATAATTATATGCTACAACAGGGTAATGAACCCACATTTTGTTATATTTGGAGTGGCCTTACAAAACCTCCGGTAAATAAATCAATCAAACACAGTCTCTAGTTGTTGAAAGTTATTGCTTGTAGCTATGCTCTTAATATGTGGTTTTTATTATTTTCAGGTTTGCCTCCACGCTACCGAGATTCAGTTCGGGCGATAACACCAGGGTTGCCCCTTTTCCTATACAACTACTCCACCCACCAACTCCATGGAATTTTTGAGGTTTGTATTACTTTCTCTACCTAAGATATTGTTTAACAAGAAGTTTCCTAGTTGGCATGGGATGGTGTTTGGGGCAAGAGACTTGAACTTCCACTACTTAGAATTTGCAGTTATTTGTGAAATTGTCAACTATATAGCATTCCGGGCCTTCAAACTTTGTTCAAGTCGGTTTGTTATGATTTAAATTAGGGGCTTTAGGTTGCTCTTGTTAGGTACTACTTTTTTGATTTACAAAATTACCTAATAGAGTTACATTTTAGGCTGTTCGGCTTAGGTTTTACTTGATTGCTGATGTAGTTTTCTTGCTACTGTTCTTATAGGCTGCAAGCTTTGGAGGAGCAAACATCGATCCAACAGCATGGGAGGATAAAAAGAACCCTGGTGAATCACGATTCCCTGCTCAGGTGTGTCTTCATTGAGTTCTTGCTTATTATGCATCTGAGTTAATGGTCAAACAATAGAGGTTGATGTTCGGATCTCTTTTAGATTTGATCAGAAACAATGTTAGATATCTGGTTTACACTGCTATTTAGTGGAAAGGATTTGGCACAAAAGCACACCAAGGTTGCAACATATTCTGTTTTCGGGTTTATGATTTACAAGTCTTCTGTTTGTGGACAGGTGCGAGTTATGACCAGGCAAGTTTGTGAGCCATTAGAAGAGGACTCCTTCAGGCCTATTCTTCATCACTACGATGGCCCCAAGTTTCGACTTGAGCTAAACATTCCAGAGGTAATTACTCAACATTTCCTTAACAAGCTTTTTGCTAAAAGCACTTTTTAACACTTTATAATGCAGTCTGCTAAAATATTGGTCTGGTTTTGGATTTTGCAGGCTCTCTCTCTGTTGGATATATTTGCAGAAAACAATCCTTGAACAACATGTCATATAGGCAACACATCTAACATACAATACAGTGAAGAAAAAGAGGAGGATGAAAGTAGAAAAGGGTTAGAGAGTGATTTGGCTGCTATGATTTGTGAAGAGTTCGAAAGAGGAAGATGAATGGAAAAGAGTTTTGTACATACAGTCTGTATGATGATATATAGCCTTTTTGTATGGAGGCTGTTATTAGTGTTTGTTGTTCTTTGGCTTGGGGTACATTTATATAAAGATAAATAATGGAAAATTAAATTCTATTTATTGCGACTTCAATATGTACAAGAAATGAGTGGTATTGTCGTTTTTTTTTTTTTTTGAGCTTTATGATCATCAGAGATAAAGCTTCAAGTCTCCTATGTTTGTGATGTTGTGAGGAAGCATTGCTATCGAATAATAACTACTTAACTAGTAGGTGAAATGAATCAAATCCATGATGGCTTGTTTAAAGCTAAAATGTTTTTGAAATTTTAATAGTTGGGTTTAATATGTATTGGAATTGACTGGGGAATTCAATTAGAGAACTTAGATCATTCTCCCTTTAAGACTCGTCTGCTTGTGAAGCATAGTCAAGAATAAGTTTTCTTTCGGTAGCTCTATAGAGGAATTGATGTAGATCGTATTAGGGAAGAATTAGGGATGAAAAGAGAAGAAAAAAAGGATGAGAAAAGAGAGAATTTTAGAAAGAAGATTCAATAATCAATAATCAAAGTCTAATCCCTCAACAAATATGTATTCCCTATATATATAAGGAGTTCATAAATCCTATATATATAAGAAGATCATAAATCCTAAAATAAATAAATAATCAAATGACAATTAAACCCTTAAAAATTAAAAGAAATTACTTAAAAACTAAATATTAAAAGTATCTAAATAACTATCATAATTAATCTATAATATCTATCCAATTTCTATACGATTCCCATCAGGAACCTAGCCCCTCTATGGCGAAAGAGTTGCTATAGAAGAATAAAGAGGTGTTAAAGATATTCCATTTTTCTTGGATTTTGTTTTTTAAAAAAATCCTTCTTATGCGAGTATAAAATATTTAAACGGATAAAAGTACTTTTAGTTCTTAAAATATCTACATTTTATCAGTTTAGTTTTTAAAATATCAATTTTGTTAATTTGATTCCCAAAATATTTAATTCGTGTTTAAACGATCCCTACACAAACGGACATTTAATTTTTTACCAGAACGATCATGTATTAATTATTGATACCACTAAAAGAATGGCATCAAATCACTTTTGTCAAAAAATTTAACGAATTGTCTGATTATGAACTAAAATAATATGAATTAAAAATTTAGGGTTCAAATTGATACAATTAATACAATAAAAATCAAACTAATAAAACGGACATTCTTTAAAAAATCAAGTGCTAGTAACCCAAATATGAAAAAGTATAGGGCTTTGAAAAATCTTAATTTATGTCGACGAATTGGTCGGCAACATACTACTAAAGGATGAAGGAGAGAATTTTGTCTCATTCCAACATATTTTTCTTAATTTACTTCAATGATAGACGATATGCAATAGACGGAGTGTTATTAGAAGAATTGTAAACTGGAATATTAGTATGTATTTTTTGCACAATTTGGAATTGGAAAGACCAAATCAAAGCTGAGAAGTTAGGCAATCAACTTCAAATACAACAAAGCTAACTTCCTTTTCGACAAACCTTCTCACCTACTACCTACCTACTGTGGAATTGGTCGTGAGGTGTGAGTCATGAACGTTAATTCCCCGCTATTTTAAGTGGTTTTATGTATGGATAGTTTCATTGTTTATTCAATTATTGTCTCCACAAGCTAGCAAAAGTGGCCATCCCCTTTTGTCACCAATCAACTTGAATTATTCCAAGATATTCATTGGTTGGTTGGTCATTTTAAACCCGTCATTATTTTAATAACTTATACATTTTTATAAAAATTTATAGTTCTTTTTAGTTGTATTTGTCTTAGATCTTGAATTTTATAACGAGTCTTGTGTTGAATTATCAACAATGAACATAAACAAAAGTTGTTAGGTTGCTTGTTAGTTTGATAATTCCCGGGTGGCAGTTGCATTGTGTGAAGAGAATGATGCTAGTGCATAAAAAAATTCAAAGTGTAAATGGGACTTTTTCCTTTGAAGTGAGGAATAACAATTTCAAAATGTTTGACTGTGGGCTATTAGAGGCCTTCTTGCAATGACTCTGGGCTATTAGAGGCCTTCTTGCAATGACTCTGGCCCATTTTATTCCATCTTACAAAAGTTTATTGGGCTTTACCGTAAATGACCACTGTGTTGACAACAATGAGTCCATAACTCGGTCCAACATCATTCGGCCGTAGGTAAACAAGTAACCGACACGAATAGCCCAAGGTGTACACATCCACAGCTAAATGATCAAATGCCATTCTTCCGTCGCCTTATCTCCTCTCCATCTCTACGTCAGTGTACACATCCAGAGCGAACAAAATCAACATCGTCCGGCAATCTTTCGTCATACTAGTACGCATCTCTCACTCTCACTCTCTCTCTCTCTCTCTCTCTCTCTTCACTGACACCGCTGGCTCCACAGCAGTTGAAACCAACTCCGGTCATGGCACCGTCGTAGCCTAGATCTGTGACAACCTTCATGCATAAAGCTGTCTCTTCTCAAAATTATGTTTAATTTGTTAAACTCGTAATAATTTTGCATTATTTAAGTCTCAACTAGTGATTAATTAATCATTTTTATTTTGTTATTTGGATGTGATATATATGATTTCAGCGAGGCAAGTATAGGTGAAGCTGGGTGTGAGAAAAGAAAAAGAATAGGACTTGTTCATATCATATGTAAGGGATTGGACCTCGTCTACAAATTGTTCGACGAATTTTCTCAAACGAGTTTGTTTTTAGTTTCTGGCTAAGGATGCCAAGCCATGCTACTGGAACAAGGATTAGCAGACAAATTGACTTTGGACGCCTGTGTTTTGCTTTATCTCCAGCATAACAATCGATTTTTTCCATTTCTCCTTTTTTCTTCACAAAACCCAAAATTATTCATAAAAACCTTTAATAATACAATCCTATATCCATGAATTACCACACTATTACAACAATTTAATGCCGTAAAGCACCCATTTACAGTTTAGCCAGCAAAATTTCAGCGCCAGCGTTCATACACAAGCAGGACAGTGCACCAACCCATTCTCATTGCACTTGGAACACCTCTCTTTCTTGTCACCCACCACCACCTTACAGCTCCCACTACACTCCAAACAGGGCACAAACCTCGCACCTCCACACCCATCACACCCCAGCCTCCCTACCCCTCTCTCCACCCTTGCCCAGTTCATCATCCTCCCAAGTCGACCCGTCTCGTTCAGACTCACCACCTCCTCCACACCACCCACATACCTCCCCTTCACGAACACCCTCGGCACACTCTCTCCTTCACCCACCAACTCTTTCAACTCGCTTAGAAACTCACCGTGCAACGACACGTCCCGTTCGTCGAACACCACTCTGTGGACCTCCAGTATTGACCTCACTTTGTTACAGTCCTCGTACGTGCGTCGAACACCTCCCAACGACGTCGTGTAGAGCACTACCAGGTCCTCTCCACCCGGTGGACACTTCTCCGGGTAGTCACTCAGTGGGTCAAACTTGACCAAACTCGGTTTTCCTTCTTTTTCTCTCTCTAGCTTGTCTTTCAGTACAAATATGTTTTCTTTCACTGGCTTGTACCCTTCCGAGTCAGTTCGTGGCGGTGGCAAAAACGCAGTGAGAGACTCGGTCTTCATAGAGACACTTTTCTTCAATTCGGTCTTGACAGTATCGGGTTTCTTCAACTCAGTTCGCAGTGATTCGGTTTTTTTTAACTGCTCCTGTTTGGAGGAGAGTTTGGTTTCGAGCTCTGCGAGCGTGTGGAAAGAGAAGCTCTTACGTGGAGCTTCTTTCACGGCGGCGGGTCTATCTTGCGCAGGTGGTTGAGGAACAGGGTTGGGATTGGGTGCTGGAGGTGTAGGGCGGTGTAGTGTGGGCCTGAGATCTTCCAAAGCCTTACTGACTTCGTCCCATGTGCGAGGAGCATCTTCTATGGCGTTGAGCTTCTCAAGAATGGGGGCTGGCATGAGTGTGGGTTTTTCTTGTTGTTGCTCTTGTGTATCATCCACCTTAAACCACGGTTCGTCAATGGCGTTGATGTCAAAGACCGCAAAACTTGACGGCGCCGGACGGTAGNCAAGAATGGGGGCTGGCATGAGTGTGGGTTTTTCTTGTTGTTGCTCTTGTGTATCATCCACCTTAAACCACGGTTCGTCAATGGCGTTGATGTCAAAGACCGCAAAACTTGACGGCGCCGGACGGTAGACATCAACGGCGACATCAATTCGCTTTGAAGAGGCACAACCCATATTAGTTTAGCTCACAGTATAAGGCTTCTTACTCAGTATAGAGTTTGGAGGGGGGAAGCGGATATAACAGAGAGCTTGTATGAGTTTCTTGGTAAGATGGTTTCGTGGTGGTCACTCTTGGGGTAGTGGGGTAGGATTTGTGTGGTTTTGATGGCTGGTTTATCTTCTTTTAGAGGTGGAGGATCTTGTTCGTTGATTCTTAGCCTTGAAATTATTTGTGGTTTCAATTTGTGAAGGTATCTGGAGTCCGGACCTCTGGAGGGTCCGTGAATGTCCATGGTACCACCAANATCTTGTTCGTTGATTCTTAGCCTTGAAATTATTTGTGGTTTCAATTTGTGAAGGTGTCTGGAGTCCGGACCTCTGGAGGGTCCGTGGTACCACCGATTAATCATAAAATATAAAATAAATTTAATAATTATTACTATTTTAATAATTACGAATAATTATTTTATTTAATAATTATCACATTAAAACAGTGAGGTTCATCAATCTTATGTGTTAGTATTTTATAATTATTAATTAATAATATTATATGATATTGANTTTAATAATTATTACTATTTTAATAATTACGAATAATTATTTTATTTAATAATTATCACATTAAAACAGTGAGGTTCATCGATCTTATGTGTTAGTATTTTATAATAATTAATTAATAATATTTTATGATATTAANTAATTATTTTATTTAATAATTATCACATTAAAACAGTGAGGTTCATCAATCTTATGTGTTAGTATTTTATAATTATTAATTAATAATATTATATGATATTGATGAAATATTTACTCGTGGGGAAAATAAGTTAGATTTTGGTCTCGTGGATCATAGAAGGACGCGTGGCAACTTTGGAGATAGAAGATTATTGTGGTCAAATTAATTGTAAACTTTATTTGACTTAGTAATATTACAATACACAAATCAAGATCTCTTTTCATCTCTGACCATACTCCTCCAAATAATGTCAAGCGTAATGTTATGGCAATAGAAAATAAGATTAGAACAATCGACCACATGGCGCATAATCTGACATTTACATGTGTATAAAGTTTAAACTTCAAATAAAAATAAAAATAAAAATAAGGCACAAAATATATAATTAAGTGAGTATTAATATTATTTGACCATCAAGTGGAGTGGTCAACTGGCTGAACTTTTCACCATGAGGTTAGATGTTCGAATTAGGAGNATGTGTATAAAGTTTAAACTTCAAATAAAAATAAAAATAAAAATAAGGCACAAAATATATAATTAAGTGAGTATTAATATTATTTGACCATCAAGTGGAGTGGTCCACTTAGTGAACTTTTCACCATGAGGTTAGATGTTCGAATTAGGGGTTCAGTCGTTGACCACTATCACTATGTCAGTGAGAATTTATCGGAATGGTCTCTCAGCGTTCTCTTTTGTCTCACCTTTTTTTCAATAGCAAAAAATATATATATTATTTGGTTCAATCTAGCAAGAATACATTATCCTAAAATTATTAAATAATATTTTTTTTTGTAATGGATCCCACTTGTTTCGTGCCGTATATTACAACTTAGTGTNTCACCTTTTTTTCAATAGCAAAAAATATATATATTATTTGGTTCAATCTAGCAAGATTACATTATCCTAAAATTATTAAATAATATTTTTTTTTGTAATGGATCCCACTTGTTTCGTGCCGTATATTCGTGCCGTATATTACAACTTAGTGTGCGTGCGTGCTTTGAATATATGTGTGAGCCGGAATGAAAAATCATATGTATCAGAGACACAGGCTACACAACAATGTCCCAAGCATGATTTTGACGGGGCAGATGAGTTCAGATTTGGCATGGTTACGTCGCATTATTGAATAGAGTGACAATACGTACCAGCATATATATGATAAATGTGAACTCTTTATCACTTACTAAATTTANTTAGTGTGCGTGCGTGCTTTGAATATATGTGTGAGCCGGAATGAAAAATCATATGTATCAGAGACACAGGCTACACAACAATGTCCCAAGCATGATTTTGACGGGGCAGATGAGTCCAGATTTGGCATGGTTACGTCGCATTATTGAATAGAGTGACAATACGTACCAGCATATATATGATAAATTTAAAAAAAAAATAATCAATTTAAACATGTGATTAAACTTGTTCGGGTGGAACATGAGCAAATTGAATAGCTTGTTTTAATCTAATTTATATTCCAAAACAAAAATAAAAATTTATTTATATCCCTCTCTAGATTTTTCATTTTTTAAGGACACTCAAATGTAATNAACATGAGCAAATTGAATAGCTTGTTTTAATCTAATTTATATTCCAAAACAAAAATTAAAATTTATTTATATCCCTCTCTAGATTTTTCATTTTTCAAGGACACTCAAATGTATTNTTGAATAGCTTGTTTTAATCTAATTTATATTCCAAAACAAAAATAAAAATTTATTTATATCCCTCTCTAGATTTTTCATTTTTTAAGGACACTCAAATGTAATATCTGAAAATTTACTAACTTTTGTCGGTGTTTATCTCTTTAAAATACTAAGAAAACTAATGTTTTTAAATTTACACCCCCACAATAATTCATAACAAAAAAAAAAATTAACAACACCCTTTGTAGAGTGTCATATCTTCTTCGGGTAAACTCACCCTTTGTAGAGTGCGACAGTCTTCAAAGAGAATACAAGAAGAAAGGAATGTTTATCTGATTCGATTGTACGAGAGAAAAATAGTAGCACTCCGCTGAATTCAAGTGATTCAGACATTCTTTCGGATGAGTACAACTACTAGTATATATATATATATATATATATATATATATATACACATCATTAACCAGTTGGTCAACATCTAATGGGCTCTGCAAACACCAAGCTTTGTCAAAAACAACATAGAAGTTGAAGTTCCCAGTGAAAAGCTTCAGACATCAAAAATCAAATAAGCACTCCATAAAACTTACCATAGAGAAAGCCAAGAAACAGAGCCCAACCACATAACTACATGAAGGGTTTCAATGTCCAAACAACCGAATTTTCATTCTGCTTGGCCTCAGCATCTGAATGGCCGGCAGTGCTCTCAGTTCAACCTTGACTTCATTTTCCTTATGGCTTTCTCTATGGCAGGTACATTCTTCTTGAAGGACGACCACTGCTCAGTTGTCAAGCTAATTCCTGCAAATTTAGCAATAAAAAAAAATTTCATAAAACATCAACAACGTGATGAAAAATAAATCATTCCATTAGCAAAAAATTTGGAGCTCAAGTGCTCTTAGAAAAAGTCAGTCAATTCAACAAACCTCAATACCAATGAATAAGGGTTGGCAACAAGAAAACCATTCACTCTGGTTGGCTCTCTGAGAAGCCATATCCTCAGTTGAAACCAAGGCAAGCATGTCTTCACGGCATCAACCACATAGTGATCCAAAATAAATAGGCAAGAGGAGGAAGGAGCCATCACAATAGCAAAACATGCAACATAGATATATGAAACTGGACTTTCTCACAGTCAAGCAATCACATATCGCAAAAAATTCAAATGCCACCAACAAAGAGGGGGGTGGGGGGAGAGAGAGAGTAGTTCTATGAGATGCGCTTGGTTGGGCAGATTTGAGGCTGTGATGTTCTCTTAATAGAACAAGTAGGTCTATTACACAGTACCATGCAGATCAATTATATAGGATAATAGTATACAATCACATGAATGCATAACAGAGGCCAAAATTACCACAAGCACACATCACTTGTCAAATGACAGGGCATTGTTATTCTTCCCTTTCCAATATTCCTTCTACTTATCTTCAATATTGAGTCAAGGCACCCCATCCACTACATCAGAACTTTAGAAGTGGTGTTTTCCTATAGAAAAATAAATATTTAGGAAAGCAAGCATTCCAGCTAACATTGTTGGGTAAGCTAAAGACTAAAATGAAAACAACCATTCCTCATATCTTTCAAACTAAATTCGCAAAACCGAACACATGAAATTTCACAGCTCACAGTTGCAAAGGTAGTATGGAAACTGAAAACCACAACAGCTCGTGCATATCAGAAAAAGACCAGGTAATATTTCATGCAGCAAAAAGGGTATGAGATACCAATATAATAACTGAAAGCTATCAAGGGGCACGAACACTTCCCCACAAACTTAGTAAATTGCAAACAACCAAAATTATGAACCAAATCTAGATTCTAGTAATAATGAAGGAAAGACATAATAATATAAGCCTACTGCAGTACTCAGATGAAATTGGTTTCAAAAACCACAATTTATGTGGTTCAATGACATAATTGGCCTTAGGACACCCCAGAACATGGGTACCACTTGTAGTGAAAGATCTCAAATCATAAGATGGTTTGGTCAAGTGAAGATTACACTCTACGTCACTTTGAAGAGCTGAAGGACAAGGAAAAATTCCAACAACCAACCCCCAGTAGTTCAAACTTGAGGATTGTTTTTTGTTACCAGAATAATCGCAAGGCCCTAAAATTGCACCAGATTAAAACCCTGATTTGTTCCTTCAACCAAGGATCATACTAGAGGAAACATGACTTGGACACATGATTGGCTACTGCACAAAATCCATGCAGAAAGAAATCTAACCAAAAGCGTGTGTATACCAGTGNATACTAGAGGAAACATGACTTGGACACATGATTGGCTACTGCACAAAATCCATGCAAAAAGAAACCTAACCAAAAGCGTGTGTATACCAGAGACATGGGACACTGAATCACAAATCTCTAATTTACCACAACCTGTATTCGGTTTTTTAGAAAATGAGCTTGAAGTCTAAGATAACTGTACAGAGAATCTTGAATTCTCATTTTCCACTTGCAATTTGACCAGTCAAGTTCTATGTTAACATCCACTTGATATGTTCTCAAGATTGCACTAAGAGCATTCTATAAAAAATTGAAACTGTCCTTTCTCACCATTATGCAGCTATTGGTGTTGCCATAAGAATAGGCAGATGTAGCTAACACACAAGGGCATTTTTTGATCCCTATTTATTGGCTTTTTCATCAAAGAGTCCAATAGAGATGAAAGTTCCCCTTACTCCATTGAAGAAGATGGACAAAAGAACATGCGAAGACTACATCAACTCTCTAGCTCAAACACACACACGTAAGCACATACACATACTCACATAGTAGCCCATTGCTTCCACTTAATGACCTTAAACTTCAAAACAGGATTATCATCAGCTCGTTAGAGGGTGGGGATGATGTACACCGAAGCCTTTGGCAATGTACGGCATTTTGGAGCTTATTCATTAAGGATGTGGGTGGTTTTTAAAGAGCTTATCAATGTTTAGAAGTTCAGATCCATCATTACCGAGGCACAACCAGCATTCACCTTCACCTGTATTTGTTCTATTAGAAGTCCTGCATCAGATTTATTCCTCCAGAATAAACTCAACTTTGAATTGGTAAAACAACAACTTACTATCAATTTTCCCATATGTTGTTTAATTACAATCTTGATGCTTAAACAACATGAACCATTAAGGACCATAAAATCATGCTACTAGACTTAGTATACACATCAAGCAAAACAAAAAGACAAAGCATCAAATAGAGATCAAACTGGAATGAAAAGGTAACCACATTAATATACCTTTAGATGTTGGAAGTTCTTTGCCATCTTTTCTGTAGTACTCCCTTATTGACACCAAAGTCTTCCCTCTAAAATCTGTAATCGTCACCCTTCTACTCTTTGTTAACTGCAAAATACAGAGAACCAATTGTATCATTAAAACAGATAAATAAAACATCAGAACAACATGTTAGGGCTTGATGAAGTATATCCTCAAAAAACTCACTCTACATATAATGAGATCGCCATCATCATCATCATCATCATCATACTCTAACTCTTTCTCGCCAGCTCTCTTTCTCTTCCTCTTTTCCTCTTCTTCTTCTTCCTCTGGCTCTTCTTCTTCTTCTTCTTCTTGTTCTGGTTTGGACTGTTGTTGAATGAGGTACGATTCAACAACTTGCCTTACAAATCTCTTTCTGTCCGGTTGGGAGAGATCGAGTCCGAGCTTTTCGGAGGCCATTTTGCGGACATTGTACTCGGTCGTTTCGTTCATGTCCGACTTTTTTAGCACATCCAACACTGTTTCCTCGATTTTCTTCTGAATTTCTTGGTCCATGAATTTTGTGCGTTGTGTATTCAGGGAATTTAGGGTTGCCAAATAAACAGAGTATGCTTCTTTANACTGTTTCCTCGATTTTCTTCTGAATTTCTTGGTCCATGAATTTTGTGCGTTGTGTGTTCAGGGAATTTAGGGTTGCCAAATAAACAGAGTATGCTTCTTTAGCCACATGAAGGTAAGTTGTGTATGGCACAAGAATCGAGTCCCTAGAAAGGTTTTTGGGGAAGAGTAATTTCACAAAGGGTAATGATACATGAATTTATTTAAATTTAAAAATTAAATTTAATAATTATAATTATTAATTTTATTATGAGTATCAACATTTATTAGAATCATTACTTATTCAATAATTTGAAATTATTAACTCTATTTTTTAGGTGTTTTAAGTTCACCTAACGGTACCCTTTCACGACAGAGGATTAGGGGAAAAAGAGCTTAATTTACGTGCGTTTTTAGTTAGAAAGATGCTAGCGGTTAGTGTAATAACTCGTACCATTTAATGGGCCACTGTCACTCATGTACCATAATCTAAAACAAACAAGTTGTCATGCACTTGTTTTCCGTTCCCTATCTTATGATCAAATTTTCTTTTCTTTAAATCTTCAGCATTAGAAGTTTTTAAAATATAAAATTTGTATTATATTATTTTAGTCCCTAAAATATGAAATATATTTTTATATGATCTTTTAATCAGACATATCTAATTTGTTAACAATTTTTTATCATAAAAATAATTTTTAATTATTATTGTATTAGACAAGGTTATTTGCAATAATGTATTAGTTAGAAATAGAGAACAACGATAAATTCAACACAGCCAACCCAAAACCTCCAAAAGTTCTTGCAATTGACAGAACTAGTTTAACCCTGACCAAACTAATATTGTGCTCAGTGATTTTTTAATATTATTTTTTTTTTCCAGAAACCAAATATTCCCCGCTAAAGCCACAGCTTTAACGGAAGCTAAAGAAAACGGTCGTATACTTCCTGTTTTTTTTGGTTGATCAGGGTGTATGTGAGTCGGGTTATTTACGGATCCTGTTTCTCGGCCCGAAAAAAATAGACTCAATAGTTGACCCAGCCGAACCTATTACCCGGCCTAAGAGCCCGCTCACAAACCCAGCCCAACCTACCCTTCCTTTGAAAAAAAATTATACTTTTAGATCATTAAATTTAAAATTTTGAAATAAACCTTTTAATATCAAAATTTAATGTTTTAAAAATTCAAATAGTATTAAGCATATAAGTTTTAAATAGTAGAGTAATACAAATGACAAATAAATTAGTGGGTGTCAACTTAATTGAGATTTATTCATTCTATTAGATGTAGTTCATTATTTTATTTTTATCCATTTTAACTTTACTTTTGATTCAAAAATATACTTTACACAAATATTAAGTTACAAAAATATTTATTATTTTTAAATAAAGATGTATATAAAAAATCCCGCAAACAGGCCAGTCCAATAGACTCACAGGTTGGGCTGCGGGTAGCCTACTCCTACCCGAAACCTGGCCCGGCCCAATAACTCACTTGAGTAAAAGCTTGGGCTTACACTACCCAGCCTGCCCGCCCCATGGACACCCCTCACGCACTATTACAGGGAGGGAGAACAGCAANCCAAACTAATATTGTGCTCAGTGATTTTTTAATATTATTTTTTTTTTCCAGAAACCAAATATTCCCCGCTAAAGCCACAGCTTTAACGGAAGCTAAAGAAAACGGTCGTATACTTCCTGTTTTTTTTGGTTGATCAGGGTGTATGTGAGTCGGGTTATTTACGGATCCTGTTTCTCGGCCCGAAAAAAATAGACTCAATAGTTGACCCAGCCGAACCTATTACCCGGCCTAAGAGCCCGCTCACAAACCCAGCCCAACCTACCCTTCCTTTGAAAAAAAATTATACTTTTAGATCATTAAATTTAAAATTTTGAAATAAACCTTTTAATATCAAAATTTAATGTTTTAAAAATTCAAATAGTATTAAGCATATAAGTTTTAAATAGTAGAGTAATACAAATGACAAATAAATTAGTGGGTGTCAACTTAATTGAGATTTATTCATTCTATTAGATGTAGTTCATTATTTTATTTTTATCCATTTTAACTTTACTTTTGATTCAAAAATATACTTTACACAAATATTAAGTTACAAAAATATTTATTATTTTTAAATAAAGATGTATATAAAAAATCCCGCAAACAGGCCAGTCCAATAGACTCACAGGTTGGGCTGCGGGTAGCCTACTCCTACCCGAAACCTGGCCCGGCCCAATAACTCACTTGAGTAAAAGCTTGGGCTTACACTACCCAGCCTGCCCGGCCCATGGACACCCCTCACGCACTATTACAGGGAGGGAGAACAGCAACATGTTGAGATTTCTCGTCATATCCGCAGGTGGAACAGGGACATGTTGAGATCTGGAGCACAATTACAGAACATGAAAATACAGCAAAAACAACCTAAAAATCTTCAAATTTTAGTGATGTATGATATGTAGGAATACAGAAGACCTGAATTTGTATTTATGCTGGAATGTTAATTTAAACTTGATCAAGACCAAGCCAAGTGCAACATTTTTCACCCTCCAGCAGAGCAATTTGCATTGGTGTATCTGTGTTAAGCACGAGGCACGCCAATTGGTTCACACACGATGCCACCTCTTAAATCTCCTTGGCCCTTGCTTATTGCTGCAAGGGTTGAATAAACACAAAATATTTCATTAATAAAATATCTACTCTTCAAAAAATTGCAGATAAAAAAAAAAAAATGGTTCTCCAAACGAAGTAAAATATGGTAACATGTCAGACAAATGTAATGAAGTAAATGAATATTATTTTTCAGTGCAGATGATCATCTTAATAAAGGTCGCTGCAACAACTGTATAGGAAAGACACAATTTAAAATTTTGAATGCACCTAAGAATAAATAGTCAGTGAGACAATCAACTGCAGACGAAGATTGAAAGGCGCTATTTCTCATGGCCTATAAGGATGGTGACTCATGGGGCATCAGCAACTCCATTCAAATGATTATTGTGAGTTCTATTAAAGCCGGTGAAACCAGCTTTGCTTACATGGATAATACGTAGGAGTTCAGCAGTATTCTGGGTTAACTATTCAAACAATTACCTGTCAATGATTCCCACCAGCAGAGATTGTTGGAGAGCATAACATCAAAAACACATGGAGATTAAGGCTTACAATGCCTTGGACCATTATTCAAAAAGCGTGATGAAGACTTATCTTTCTGGTGCACAATGCCTAAAAACTTCATGTGAACTGTAGGTGTTCATTCAACCAGACAGACAGGTAAGGATAAAAAAGTACTATGCCAGCTAAAGTCTAGTTCAACCCTCCTCCTTGATCAGCCTTTGTGACCACAACAAAGCAATTAAGGAGGCCAAATTTTAAAATCTGTCCAACCAAAATTCTTCTCAAATGGCTATGCATCTCTTTGGTACTTGAGTAACAATGTTGAACTGATTCTCTAACATCCAGGTACTTCAATCAACTCAACAAAGCATAATGACAATGTGCACAATGAAGCAATCTAATAAGACTATGAACCCAATGGAAAAGAGAGTAAAACAAATCAGCAAAGAAGAATACTAGCTCTACCTTGATTAAGCCTCATTTTTGGTACCCATGGGATCTTTTCTCTCCCCTCTCCCCCAGGCAACCTCATCCATGCTCTGCCCACGTCTCCTATACCTACCACCAGAAGCAACAAATCCAGGACAAGGCCTGTAAGCCTTTATTGGCCACCAGCCAAAGCCTGGGACCGTTGCAATCCCACCCTGGATCCGTCCCTCACCATTGCATCCCTTCTCAATCTCCTCTCTCCCGCATGCCTTGCAGCCCCTATCAATAGAATTTGTTCATGGTACTGAAAAAATGAGCATTATTTCCAATCATAAAGTCATCGCATCAGCTAAAGTAACAAAAAAGAACGAGCAATAAACAACCTCAGCCTTCCCACTCATCTCTCGCATTGAAAAAACTTCATGTGTACCACAATTCAAGTAACTTTTGTACTCTCAACTATTGTCTAAGTTTATTTCATTCATTCAGAGACAATTCAGCAAACAGCTGTCATCTATTAAATTCGAGCGTCGAGTATTAATTAATGAAAACAATAGGGTAACTTTTGGCCTACCAATCATAAAGCATTAAGGTTAACAGCAATAGATGCCACGTGAGCTTTAGATTTTCGTTATGTCTCTAATTCGGAGCATTAGAGTTTGGAAAAACTCAACTCAAATGACTATGAGAGAATTCTAAGCGAAACCTGATCCCTTCAGAAGAAGAAATATTAAACTTTATAGAAGTTCAAGAATCCCTTAAATCTCACTATAATAATATCCAAAAAGGACAAAGAAACTACACTTATAGGGTTATAAAAGATACTGAGTTATTGAATTAGAGTGACAAGTCCCAAAATTCCGAAGAAAATGAGTACCTCAAAGGAGAAAGGGAATCAGATTCCTGAACGGAGGTAGATTCAGCTTCTACAAGAAGGCTTCCTTCTTCTTCTTGTTCAACAACTGGAGTTGAAGATGAAGACGTTGAAGAAGAACGGAGGACGAGAGGTCTGAGCTTAAATGAAGATTTTGTATAGCCAATGAACAACCATCTATTCACGTATGGGATTTGTTTGGGTACTGGGACTTGGTGTGGTGGTGTTGATGGCACTGAGAACAGGGCAGTGGTGGCGGCAGCTGCGGTGGTGGTAGTGGTTGCCATTCCTCTCTCTCTCTTTTCTCTCTCTCTCTCTCTGCTTCCGGCGTGGAGAGGGATGAAGGGATAATAGCCACGAATCCCCGGGTCCTAGTTTCTCAGTAAACTAACCAACCGTATCTTTGATAAATTTTAGGGTTAATCACATTTTAAAGATTCGAACCTCAATTTACACATTTAAAGTGCAAAAATTTTAATTTACACCCTCAAATATAAATTTTTAATTTACACCCTCAAATATAAAAATTTATATTAATGTGTAATCTCAAAAATTAAAAATCTCAATTTGCACCCTCAAAGATAAAAATTTATATCAATGTGCACCCCAAAGATAAAAAATCTCAATTTACACTCTCAAAGATAGAAATTTGTATCATTATTCACCTAAAACTAAATTAATAAATTATACCTAAATCCCCTCATGCTTGTCACTTAATCATTTGGACTTCTTTACATTTAAAATATTACTCCTACATCTCATGACATTTGTGCACGTACAACATGTAACCCATTTTTATTGATATCTGTTAATATAATCGTTAAAAAATATAATTTTATCCTAATAAAAAATTATAATTTCATATTACCCTTATTTTATGGGTCCAATATACTATAAAGTTCAAAATCAAGCTTATTATTTGAATGTCTAATAAAATGTAGATATTTATATAATATTTTTCAAATTTTTCTTTATATAAATATCTACGTTCTATTAGACATTCAAATGATAAGCTTAATTTTGAACTTTAGAATATATCGAATCCACAAAATAAAGGGTAATATGAAATTATAATTTTTTATTAGGATAAAATCATATTTTTTAACGATTATATTAACAGATATCAATGAAAAGTGGTTATGTGTTACACATATACAAACGTAATGAGATGTAGGGGTAATATTTCTAAATGTAAAGGGGTTCAAATGATTAAGTGACAAACATGAGGGGATCTAGGTATAATTTATCAATTTAATTTTATGTGCACATTGATACAGATTTCTATCTTTGAGGGTGCAAATTAAAATTCTTTATCTTTGGGAGTGCACATTGATACAAATTTCTATCTTTGAGGGTACAAATTGAGATTTTTGATCTTTGGAGGTGTAAATTAAGATTCCAACGATCTTTCGGGGTACAAAATGAGATTAACCCTAAATTTTAAGTTAAATTACAATCGAGGTCCAAAATATAAAATTTATTTTATTTTGATCACTAATATTTTAATTATATTATTTTAATCTCTAAATATTAAATATATTTTTACGTGGTTCTCTAAATATACAATATTCAAATTACTTACGATTTTTTTATCATAAACTTGTCACATGATATATAAATATAAACAATAATTAAATTGGGCATCTCTTGACTAAAATTTGGGTTACTCACCAAAAATGTATAATATGAGTAACTCTCGACTAAAATTTAGTTAACTTATGATTAAAATTGTGTAATTTAAGTAATTTTTTGAACAATAATTGTGTAATTTAAATTATTTTTTTGTCCATATTTAGGTATTATGTGATAAATTTATAAAAAAAAAATAGTTAGTAATTTGAACGTTGTATGCTTAAGGGATTACATAGAAATATATATTTAATATTGTAGAGATCAAAATGATACAATTAAAATATTAATTGTCAAAATGAAACAAATCTTATATTTTAAGGTCTTTCAGCACAATTAACCCTAAATTTTAAGGCTGAAAAGCAAGCTGGGGGAAATTAGTTTAGTATAGATTTGCTCCTTTTGAGTTACTATTATATTTCCACTTAATTTTATGTAACAATAAATTATTTACAATTAAGTCAAATAAAATTTACTATTTAGTATTGACTGAAATTAAAGAAAAATATTTCTTTTTCATTCTTACTATTTTGTTCTCACTTACATTTATACTCGTGATTATTATGCAAATGCGCCGTTCATACAATATTGATAAGATCAATTTACTTAGCCTGCTATATCCCAAGTCCAAATCTTAAAATGTGCCTAAATCGTGACTCGTGATGCTTTGTAGGGCATAACATTTAACAAGTGATGTAGAGGTTATACTCTCATTATGATCACTCGTGGAAGAAAAATGATAAAAACAAGCGAAATATAAGAGAAATATAAGAATGACAGGCAAGATATAAAAATGTTGGTTCCTTTGTTGCTGTTTGTGTGTGTGTGTGTGTGT